GACCTTCAATTTGTCGATTTTCATTTTTTTTTATTGTTCTTTTCCTGGATTTTTTTCGATTTATCGATTTCTTAATTTTTCAATTATTCGATTTTTAAATTTTTTGAGTTTTCTGATTTTCGGATGTTTCGGTTTTCCAATTATGCGACTTTGCGATTCCTCAATTTCTCAAACTTTCGACTTGTCCATTTCACATTTTGAAAATTTTTCAGTTTTTCGATTTTTCTATTGATCAGTTTTTCGATTTTTATATTTCTCAATCTTGCAAAAAGTCGAAAAATCGAGACATTGAAAAATCGAAAAATCCAAAAATCCAGAAAATGAAAACCAGCAAAACCTAAAAATTAAAAATCGAGAAATTGAAATTTGTGATTTTTCAATTTTTCGATTTTTCACTTCTTCGATTCGCTGTTTTAGTTTTCTAAATTTGCTATTTTCCAGCTTTTCGATTATACAAATTTTTCAATTTTCAAATCTCTCAATTTCTCGAATTTTCAATTTTTTGATATTTAATTTCCTCGATTTATCGATTTAATTCTTGGACCATTTAATCTTTCAGCTTTTCAGTTTTTCGACTTTTCGATTATTAGATTTTTGGTTTATCGCTTTTTTGGATTTTTCTTTTTTCGGTTTTTCGATTTTCCAATTTTTCCACTTTCCGATTTCTCGATTTTTCAAATTTTCGATTTTATCTTTCTCGACCTCGACTTTTCGATTTTTTAAATTTCTAATTATTTAGATTTTAGATTTTTGAATTTTTTGATTTTTCACATTTTAGATTTTTACGTCGAAAAATAGAAGAATCCAGAAATTGAAAAACCGGAAAGCCTAAAACTTGAAAAATCAGCTTACAGATTTTTCAATTTTTAACTTTAGCGATTTTTCCTTCTGTGGATTTTCCGATTTTTCGACTTCTGTTTTTGCCTTTCATTCCATTTTTCTATTTTTCATTATTCAAATTTTCAATTCAGGGCGTTTTCACTTTTCAATTATTCGTTGTCTCGGGTTTTTAATTTTTCCATTTCCCAATTTTTCGATTATACAAATTATCGATTTTTTGACATTTCGATTTCTCGAATTTTCAGTGTTTTAATTGTTATTTGTCGATTTTTCGATATATTGAATTTCTAATTTTTCGATTATTCGTTGTTTCAACTTTTCAGTTTTCTGATTTTTCGGTTTATCGATTTTTGAATTTTTTTTATTTTTCGATTTTTCGATTTTCCAATTTATGCGATTTTCGGATTTCTCAATTTTTCAAACTTTCGATTTGTCGAGTTCATAATTTCAAAATTTTTCGGTTTTTCGATCAGTCTTTCGGTTTTTATATTTCTCAATCTTTCAAAAAGTCGAAAAATGGAGACATTGAAAAATTGAAAAATCCAAAAAAACAGAATAAAAAACCGCAAAACCTAAAAGTTGAAAATCGAGAAATTGAAATTTGTGATTTTTCAATTTTTCAATTTTTCAGCTTCTCGATTTTGGTCTTCCTCGTTCTCAATTTTTCGATTTTTCACTTCTTCGATTCGCTGTTTCAGTTTTTTAATTTTTCCATTTTCCAGATTATGGATTATACAAATTTTTCAATTTTCAAATCTCTGAATTTTTCGAATTTTTAATTTTTTGACATTTAATTTCCTAGATTTATCGATTTCTTAATTCTTGGATCATTCGGTCTTTCAACTTTTCAGCTTTTCGATTATTATTATTAGATTTTTGGTTTATCGTTTTTTGGATTTTTCTTTTTATCGATTTCTAGTTACTCGATTTTTCAAATTTTTCGATTTTGTCTTTTTCGACCTCGACTTTCCGATTTCTCAAATTTCCAATTATTCAGATTTTAGATTTTTAAATTTTTCGATTTTTCACATTTTAGATTTTTCAGGTTTTTTTAAGTCGAAAAATCGACAGATAAGAAGAATCCAGAAATTGAAAAACCGGAAAGCCTAAAACTTGAAAATCGAGAAATTGAAATTTGCGATTTTTCAGTTTCTACGTTTTTCAATTTAAAACTTTTGCGATTTTTCAGTTTTTGGATTTTCCGATTTTTCGACTTTTCTATTTTCAATCATCGCTTTTCAATTTTCAATTATTCGTTGTTTCGGGTTTTTAATTTTTCCATTTCCCAATTTTTCGATTATACAAATTTTCGATTTTTCAATTTTTACCTTTTAATTTCTCGAATTTTCAATTTTTTTTGTTCCTGGATTTTTTCGATTTATCAGTTTCTTAATTTTTCAATTCTTCGATTTTTCAATCTTTTCAGTTTTCTAATTTTCCGATTTTTCGGTTTTCCAATCTATGCGACTTTCCGATTTCTCAATTTTTCAAACTTTCGACTTGTCGATTTCACAACTTCAAAATTTTTCAAAATCCAAAAAACCAGAAAATGAAAAACACCAAAACCTAAAAATTGAAAATCGAGAAATTGAAATTTGTGATTTTTCAATTTTTTGATTTTTCACTTCTTCGATTCGCTGTTTCAGTTTTCTAAATTTACTATCTTCCAGCTTTTAATTTCCTCGATTTATCGATTTAATTCTTGGACCATTTTGATCTTTCAACTTTTCAGTTTTTCGACTTTTCGATTATTAGATTTTTGGTTTATCGCTTTTTTGGATTTTCTTTTTTCGGTTTTTCGATTTTGTCTTTCTCGACCTCGACTTTTCGATTTCTCAAATTTCCCATTATTCAGATTTTAGATTTTTTAATTTTCCGATTTTTCACATTTTAGATTTTTCTTCGATTTTTCGGTTTTCCAATTTATGCGACTTTTCCATTTCTCAATTTCTCAAACTTTCGACTTGTCGATTTCACAATTTCAAAATTTTTCGGTTTTTCGATTTTTCTATTGATTATTTTTTTCGATTTTTATATTTCTCAATCTTTCAAAAAGTCGAAAAATCGAGACATTGAAAAATAGAAAAACCTAAAAATTAAAATTTGTGATTTTTCAATTTTTCCATTTTTCAACTTCTTGATTTTAGTCTTTCTCGTCCCCAATTTTTCGATTTTTCACTTCTTCTATTCGCTGTTTCAATTTTGTAATTTTTCGATTATACAAATTTTTCAATTTTCAAATCTCTCAATTTCTCCAATATTCAATTTTTTATTATTTAATTTCCTGATTTCTTAATTCTTGGACCATTCGATCTTTCAACATTTCAGTTTTTCGACTTTTCGATTATGTATTAGATTTTTGATTTATCGTTTTTTGGATTTTTCTTTTTTTGATTTTTCGATTTTTCCACTTTCCGATTTCGCGATTTTTCAAATTTTCGATTTTGTCTTTGTCGACCTCGACTTTTCGATTTCTCAAATTTCCACTTATTCAGATTTTAGATTTTTGAATTTTTCGATTTTTCGCATTTTAGATTTTTCAGTTTTTTTTAAGTCGAAAAATCGAGAGATAGAAAAATAGAAGAATCCAGAAATTGAAAAACCGGAAAGACTAAAACTTGAAAAATCGAGAAATTGAAATATTGCCATTTTTCAGTTTCTAGATTTTTCAATTTTTAACTTTTGCGATTTTTTCGTCTGTGGATTTTTCGATTTTTCGACTTTTCTAGTTTTGTCTTTCTTTCCCTCCGTTTTTCTATTTTTCATTTTTGGATTTCTCTTTTTTTCAATTATTCAAATTTTCAATTCATGGCTTTTTCACTTTTCAATTATCCGATTTTTAATCTTTCCATTTCCTGAATTTTCAGTGTTTTGATTGTTCTGTTTCTCGATTTTTCGATATATCGATTTTCTAATTTTTCGATTATTCGTTCTTTCAATTTTTCAGTTTTCCAATTTTCAGATTTCACAATTTCTAAATTTTTCAAAAAATCGTAAAATCAACTTCTCGATTTTGGGCTTCTTTCTATTCGTCGTGAGAAGGGGGGCGGAGCTTAATTGCAAAATTCTTATTTTTCTTCAAGAAATTACCATATGAAACACTAAAGAAAACTATATGTATTAAGTAAGTGATGAATTGTTAAATAAATAAAATAAAATAATAGAGTGAAGTATTTATGGCTATTAAACTGAAAAATTAATTATTACTTATTCAAATGTGAATTTTAAATTTGATTAAATTGACTATATGCTTATTAAACACTAAAATAATAATTGTTCACTTCAGTGCTTTAAGTCGTACTTATTGGAATGGAAAATATAAAGTGTGAAATTACTGGCAATAGTGTGCAGTTTTTGTCAGATTTTCTAACCTTACAAAAACAACGTAACCTAATATGATAAATTTGACAATCTATGACATACACGTGTTTTTGACAACCTAAAGTAAATTGAATTTTTGTCTGTATGGCTTTATTTAAATGTATCCAAAAAAGGCCGACGAGTCGAGACGGTGTATTTTTATTTATTATTTTTGGTGTTTAAACAACTCGCAACGCAGCAAATATAACAAATGTACGTTTTTATTTTTACTCATAGCAAGGTCAGTGCAATATGTGTTTACTATTCTTCATTTTTCTGCGAAGACACGTTAATGGTAAATGTTTTAAAAATAATCGTGACTTGTGTCACACCTTCCCGCGCGTACCTTATTTAGCACCTGCGGTGCATCCATCCCGCCAATCGCCACCTGGTCCCACCTGACGTCACTTCATTCCCGTGACGTCACCCTTCCAACCGCAGCCCCAAATCTCGAATTTCCCAACGACCCAGCGCCGCCTCCCATGACCCCAAATCTGGCCACGTTCCAATCAATACCGATCCCATCCAGGTCAGCGATCGAAAACCGTCCCAAATCCCGATCTCGCATCGCAAAAACTCCTTGCTTGCAGTCACGAGGCTGCGAAATCGCTCTACCAACACATGACATTTGCCGATTTGGAACACAGCCATGCGGTGTTATTTTCGAGATCGGCGCGTTCCAAAACAGCTAATCTTGCTATTAATGACGTCACGGCGTCCGTTATCTCGTGATTCGCCCTTAATTAACCGCTCGGATCGGCTCCGGGCGGACCGTTAGGAAAGTTTGATGGAAGACTTACCGGTTCGACTAGACACTGCTCGTCTAGAGGAAACAATGGTTTTTGGGAGGACGGTCTGCTGGCCAAGTAGAAGGCTGAGGCCGCGGCCACACCGGTGAGGGCCAGAGCCCCGGCGCCGCCGCCGATGTAGTGCAGGTACTGCTCCATGTCGTCCACTGGAAAGAAAACGCAATGAGAACGTGGGGCTGAAATGTTTATGGTAATTGTGTGGGAATTATTTATGGGTGGTGGAGTTGATTAAAGGATCGATAGGGAGACGGTGGTTTGAGAAGGTATGAGTACTTGTGACGTGTGGTTAACGATGACTGCGATAGTTAAAGACTATCGATAATCGTGGGTAATATAGACAATGTCGGGGACAGATAACGAGTGCTTTTTTAATGGGTGTTACCTTGTAGTCTTGCTTATTATAATGTATATATAATACAATATACATACGTATCAAGATAGTAGGTTTTAATTACAGTAAATAGTAAAGTCGTTTCTGTAATTAGGCAGTGTCTAGCATTTAATAATAATAATAATAATAATAATAATACGTTTATTCATTCCAACAGACGTTAGTCTATGGTGGACATGTATACACAAAAAGACATTAAATTCAACTTAAACTAAACTTACAATTTAAAAAAAATCTAAAAAAAAAAAAATTAAATCTAACATTAGAACAAATATTATGTACCTACATATATTATTGTGCATATCGTGCTAATAACTTTTTTTTGAAAGATGCTTTATTAAAATTAGCGTGAAAAATATCAATGCTATCGTCTAAAGTACAGTTATTATAAAGTCTAAAACATGTAATTAAGGGGCTATTAAAGTGATGATAAGAATTAGGAATTTGATAGTAAAAAGTGGATGGATTTCTGCACAATAAACGAGGAACACAAAAGTTAATATTATTTAGTAACGCTGGACAGAATATATCACCACGCACCAATTTCTGCAAAAATACAAAACAAGCAATATTTCGTCTATACTCGAGAAAATTTTCATTCACTATATTAAGAAGAGCTCTCTGGTTACAATGACTAACAGGATAACAGTCGAACATTTTAAAATACAGATACTTAGCAAATTTCCTGTTAACGTTTTCTATAATATTAATGTAAATTTGGTGATGAGGTCTCCAAATTATAGAACAGTATTCTAATTTTGACCTAACTAGACTATAATAAAGCTGTTTAATATATAAAATATTATTAAATTCTTTAGTATTTCTACAGATGAAGCCAAGTGTTTTGATAGCTGAATTTGTTATATCAATGATATGAGGAACAAATGACAGTGCAGAGTCTACAATTATGCCTAAATCGCGTATTTGATTACAGTTTTCTAGCAAAGTTCCATTAATATTGTAATAAAAATTAAAATTAGTGTCTTTCCTGGAGAATGTAATTTTTCTACATTTTTTTTATTAAGGCTTAACTTATTCTGTTCACACCACAGCGCTAATTTATCTACATTATCTTGTAAAACTAAACAATCTCTGTTCGTTTTTATTACTTTAGCTATTTTTAAATCATCGGCATATATAAACACTCTACAACTAATAACATTTAGGACATCATTGAAGAAAACAGTAAATAACAGCGGGCCTAGGTTTGAGCCTTGAGTAACTCCGCTGTTAACAGGAAAGAATGTTGACTTGACTCCGTGAATTTCAACAAATTGTTCCCTACCAAACAGGAGATTTCTAAAAATCATTACTAGCTGATGACATATTCCTAATGTATCAAGTTTTTTTAACAATATGCAATGATCTACTCTATCAAAAGCTTTGGATAAATCAGTGTATATGGCATCAACTTGAAAGCGATTATCTAAAGCTAAGGATACGTATCCGGTGAATTCACATAAATTGGTGAGAGCATTTATCAATAAGGTTCGGATTGTACACATTTTTAGTCAAAATATGCACCATTTTATTAAAAATATGCAAAACTTGCATATATCTCTGCATGTTTTAGGTCCACTATCGAAAACGATGACTATAATGATTTTTGAAAGAATTCTAAGTTACACTAGAAATCTATTTGGAAACAAAAAAGTAAAAAATTGCTACAGATTATAGAACTTGTTAAGTCAAGATTGATTTTGGCAGATGTCATATCTCTAAGAAAAAAACGGTTGGGTGGGCGGGGCTAAAATTTGCTAAGATTATTAGATTAATTTTTTTGAGCCACCTGTATAAGCAAATCTAAAAGATATGAATGCAATGATAAATCACAAGTAAAACATCATCATTTTTTGGGGGGAATAAACAGATATATTTTGATTAGTAATTTACCATGCTTACAATAACTTTAAAACGTCTCCAGGATTTCAAAGTACTCAGTTTTGCAATTTTTGATTTATTCGATAAAATAAATTGACTGATTCATTTTTTTTTGTTACTCACGTGGCAACGTCGCATCGTTATTCCAAAAATAAATAGAAAGCTAAATAGTTGAAACTAGTTTTAGTGTATATTTTAATCAATCTTATCTTACCAAATATAAGCCCCGCCCACCCGCCCTCTACTTTCTTTAAGGATATATCATTTGCCAAAGTCAGTTTTAGCTTTACAAGTGGTAGCCCCACCCACCCGCCATTTTTCTCTTAGCAGGTATGTCATTTGCCAAAACCGGTCTTATGTTATCAAGTACTAGCCCCGCCCACCCACCCTCTATTTTCTTGGAAGGTATGTGATTTGCCAAAATCAGTCATATCTTAGGAAGTACTAGCCCCGCCCACCCCCTATTTTCTGTATGTCACTACAAAAATCGTACGACTTTTTTTAATGAAGATACATATATATATATATTGAAGAATCACTTATCCCAAAAATTTTGACTTGTTGGTTCAAAAATTGTATTCATTGAATATTTTATGGAAACACAGGTCTGTTATTTAAAAAATATAACATAGCACTCGGTATATAAAATATTATAAAATAGATGTTGAAATTTTATTATAATATCTTACTTTAACCCCTGGAATGCTAAAAATTTCAAGAAAATTTACATAACGTGGCAACGTCGCATCGTTATTTCAAAAATAAAAAGTTAAATAGTTGAAACTAATCGTATCTTAACAAACACAAGCCCCGCCCACCCGCCCTATATTTTCTTAAGGATATATAATGTGCCAAAATCAAAAATAAGACTGACTTTGGCAAATCATATACCCTTTAAAAAAATAGAGGGCGGGTGGGCGGGCTAGAACTTGTTAAGATAAGATTGATTTTGGCAGATGACGTATCCTCTAAAAAATACAAGGGCGGGTGGGCGGGGCTAAAACTTGCTAAGATAGGACTGAACAATATTGAGAGTAGTCACTGGAACGAAGAAGGGGTGGGTAAGCGTGGCTACTGCTTTCTCATAAAACTAGTAAAAAGCTAAATTTAGCCCCGCCCACCTTCTTTCCCCATTTCACTGACTTAATTTATTTAGTGTAAAATTTAAATTGAAAAATAACACAATTGTATTCCAAAAATTTTCTGAAAAATCATATTTTGCACATTTTGGATGGAACTTATTCAGCAAAATTTTGAGATGACGTCATCAATTTTTTGGGGGAATAAACAGATATATTTTGATTAACAATTTACTAAGCTTACAATAACTTTCAAACGTCTGCATGATGTCAAAGTATTTACATTTTAATCACGTGGCAACGTCGCATCGTTATTCCAAAAATAAATAGAAAGCTAAATAGTTGAAACTAGTTTTAGTGTATATTTTAATCAATCTTATCTTACCAAATACAAGCCCCGCCCACCCGCCCTCTACTTTCTTAAAGGATATATCATCTGCCAAAGTCAGTTTTATCTTTACAAGTGGTAGCCCCACCCACCCGCCCTTTATTTTCTTAGAAGGTATGTCATTTGCCAAAATTGGTATCGTAGCAACTACAAGGCCCGCCCACCCGCCCTTTATTTTCTTTAGGGTATATTATTTGCCGAGATCAAAGATAAGACTGATTTTGGCAAATGATATACCCTTTAAAAAAACAGAGGGCGGGTGGGCGGGCTAGAATTGTATATTAGCCAAAAATCGGTAAATTGATACAAAATTTGTTTTCAAAACAAGTTCGCTCTAGGAAATTTTGATAGTGTCGAGAAGCTATTAGAGAAATATGACTCTAAAGACTTTTCAAGAAATTTCGAAAAGAATTCTTAGTTTTAGAGGAAATCTATATAGAGACGAAAAAGGAAACAAATATCTGAAGCTTTATACAATATTTCTTTCCAAAAGAAATCCGCTCTAGGAAATTTTGATAGTGTAGAACAATTAATTACTGGACAAATGTGACTTTAATAATTTTCCAAGAAATTCTAGATCGTTTAAATAAAATGGTATCTGGGAAAAATTCTGAATTTTAGAAGAAATCTAAGTTTTTGGAAATGAAAAACTAAGCGATTTCTTGGGAGAAGATCATCGAAGTAACGGGAAGTCTATCTACTTCTTTTTGAAAAGATTAAAAAATTAGTAAAATCTTGATAGTTTAGAGTAGATCCACTGTTAAAAAGATGATTATGAAGATTTTTGACAAAAATTCTGGACCATTTACAAAATCATTATTTAATCATCAGAATTCTAATTTTCACTAGAAATCTATGTGGAAACGAAAAAGGGAAAAATTGGTAGAGATAATATAAGCTAAAAATCGGGAAGTTTATGCAAGATTTGTTTGCTCTAGGAAATTTTGATAGTGTAGAGAAACTATTAGAGAAATATGACTCTAAAAATTGTTCAAGAAATTCTGGAGCATTTAAGCAAATTGGTGTTTGAGAAGAATTCTTAGTTTTAGAGGAAATTTATGTAGAGACGAAAAAGAAAACAATTTTTTGAAAGAAGATCGTCAAATTATTGGGAAGTCTGTCCATTTTTTAAGACTTACTTTAGGAAGTTTTGATAATTTAGAAATTATTCACTATCGAAAAAAGAGACTGCAATATTTTTCAAAAAAAATTTAGAGCATTCGCAAAATCACTATTTGAGAAAAATTCCAAGTTCTACTAGAAATCTATTTGTAAACGAAAAATAAAAAAAAAATCCAATGAGAATATTAGCAAAATATCTGAATCTTTGTCCAATATTTCTTTGGAAAAGCAGTACGCTCTAGAAAATTTTGATAGTGTAGAACAATTACTGCAAGTAGATGCAGT